CGGGGCCCGGGTCGCTGCCATGGTAGCCAGGGGCAGCAGGTTTGTAGAAATTTTGGTGGTGCCCAGAACCCGCCCCTCCAAACTCTGCCCCCCCCCCCCACTTGCCTAAGGCTCTGGGAGGGAGTTTGGGGGGGGAGGTCTGGGGTGCAGGCCTTGGGCTGGGGCAGGGGATTGGGTGCAGGCTCTGGGAGGGAGTTTGGGTGGGGGAGAGGGTCTATGGTGCAGGCTCTGGGATAGCGTTTGGGGGCAGGAGGGGGTATATGGGAAGGGGGTGGGGGTCCAGGCTCTGGGACAGAGTTTGGGTGCAGGCTCTGGGCTGGGGCAGGGGGTGGGGGTGCAGGAGGCAGGGTTGAGGGGTGCAGGCTCTTGGCGGGAGATTGGGGGCAGGAGGAGGTGCGGATGGAGGGGGTGCAAGCTCTGGGAGGGAGTTTGGTGTCAGGAGGGGTGTGTGGGAAAGGGGTGGGGGTGCAGGCTCTGGGAGGGGCTGGGGAGGTGCGGTGTTTACCTGGGGCTTCTAGGCAGGGTGGGCCGGGGGGGCCTCCATGTGCTGCTACCCCCAGGCACTGCCCCCGCAGCTTCCTATTGGCCGCAGAGGCACTTGGGGTGGAACACAGACCCTCCCCCCCCCCCCGCCCACGGGCCTCAGGGAGGGGCCGGCAGCCACGTGGAGCGAGGAGGCAGGAAGTCACTCGGCTCCGCTGCGCTGCTGGTGGTGGTTTTAAATCACCTAGGGGACATGCGGAGGGGTTAGGGTTAGGGTTAGGGTTAGGGTTAGGGAAGGCAAGGCCAAGGGAGAGACTTAGCCTTAGACATTGATGGAGCCAAGCCCCGGGCCAGGAATATTCCTGGTGCCGGGCACCACGGGCCCATAGAACTCGCCGCCTATGGTGGTAGCAGCGGTGGTGGCCAGGAGCCCTGGGCCCTTTTAAATTGCGGGGCCCAAGGAAACTGTCCTGTTTGCCCCCGCCCCTGTCGGCGGCCCTGCCGGTAGGGTCCTTAAAGTGCTGCTGTGGCAGTGATTTAACATCCCTTGACGGCTTTAACATCCACTGTCTATGGGCCCGTACTGGCGGCCACTTCTTACCGGTACACCGTACCGGCCCAATTTCACCTCTGGTCTAAACCCCTTTGGATCCCTGATACCCAGTGGCCGTCTTGCCTGAGAAGGGCCTGCACAATTCTGCCCTTCGGGGACTGTGCAAAGGAAACCAGGGGCATTACTGATTTCTCTGCATGGCAGGCCGACAAGAAGGCAGTTCCTGTACAAAGAGACCCACTGAGATGAGATCCCGTTAGGGAGGGGGCGATCGCCTCTTGAGAGCCCCTCACTCACCCTTCTCTGTTGCCTGGAACAGGTTGTGTGCCAGGTTCTTCTTGTCCATGTCCTCCAGCACCTTCCCGGCCACTTCCACCGCGTAATCCTCCTTGTAGTAGCTGACCAGCAGGCGAGTGATTTCTACAGCGTCTGCTTTTTCCAGCTCGCCCCATTTGATACGGTTATAACCTGGCTTGGGCTGGAAATTGTTCAGCTTGTCTTTAAACGTCTTCAAGTCCGACTCGCCCAGCTCTCTAATGGTGTCGAACAGATGGTCTCTCAGGGTCTTTGCCATGCTGGCTTTTTGCCCTGAGACAACGGGCAGGGAGCAGTGTCCCGAGAAGGAAAGCGAAACAAACTTTCACAAGTCCCACCCTCTTCTTTTCTGTGACACTGGGCTGTGCTCAGTTGGAAGATTAGCAGTTTTGATCTGGCTCACGATTTTTGTGGCCCTTTTCTGGGGTCGGGGGTTTTGCCGCTATGGGGGCTCAGGCTCAGATTCACTCCTGTTGTCTTGTGTTATTCAAACAGTCATGGGCACGGAGATTGGGAGGGCAAAGGGCATCTGTGCCCTGGCTGGGAAGGAAAGTGGAGTTGGGGTCAGGGGGGGAAATGGCAGGAAAAGTGGCAAGAGCGATGCACACACACACACACACACACCATGCAGAGACACAGTTACACACAAACACACCCCTCCCCCCAGAGACAGTTGCATACACAGAAGGACACACAGACACACCACACCACACTCAGTTACACACAAACACTACACACAGGGACACATACACAGTTACACCACAGACATACCGCACACAGAGACACACATGCAGCCTGACACACGCACACACACTGACAATCACTGACAGATACACACACCATACGCAGACACTTGCCACAGACACTGTGACACAAACACACACACACACAAAGACTTGCATTCACAGTTATGCACAGACACACCCAAATACCGACACAGATACACACTGACTGATACATCCCCTCCCCCGAATCCCCATTTTCAGATCAGAAGAAAGTGGAATATCCCATTCCTCCAGCAACAGGAAATGGGGTGTGCAAATAAAATCTGGAAGCTAGTCTTGGGGTACGTCTTCACTTACATCCGGGTCCGGATGTAAGCAATCGGTTTTCTGAGTTCGATTTATCGCGTCTGGTTAAGACGCGATAAATTGATCCCGGATCGATCCTGGAAGTGCCCCGGATCAATCCCGGAAGTGCTCGCCGTCGACGCCGGTACTCCAGCTCGGCGAGCGGAGTACGCAGCATCGACGGGGGAGCCTTCCTGCCGCGTCTGGACCGCGGTAAGTTCGGACTAAGGTACTTCGAATTCAGCTACGTTATTAACGTAGCTGAATTTGCGTACCTTAGTCCGAAGTGGGGGAGTTAGTGTAGACCAGGCCTTAGTCACTTACGTAAGGGTGGATGCGGCCTATTCCCAACAGCTGACAAGAAGGGGTGAATATCAACAGAGGGAAAATTACTTTTTGTAGTGCTAACAAGACTAACAGATTTATTTGGGCATAATCACATCGTCTTGTCAACTGTTGGGAATAGGCCTCATCTACCCTAATTGAATTGGCTTCGTTAGCACTGACCCCCCACTTGGTAAGGCAACTCCCATCTTTTCATGTGCTGTGTATTTATACCTGCCTCCTGTATTTTTCACTCCATGCATCTGATGAAGTGGGTTTTAGCCCGCGAAAGCTTATGTCCAAATAAATTTGTTGGTCTCTAAGGGTATGTCCAGACTACCCGCTGTATCGGCGGGTAGCGATCGATTTATCGGGGATCGATATATCGCGTCTCGTTAAGACGCGATATATCGATCCCCGAACGCGCTCCCCGTCGACTCCGGAACTCCACTGGAGCAAGCGGCGGCAGCGGAGTTGACGGGGGAGCCGCGGCCGTCGATCCCGCGCCATGAGGACGGGAGGCAAGTCGGAATAAGATATGTCGACTTCAGCTACGGTATTCCCGTAGCTGAAGTTACGTATCTTACATCGGCCCCCCCCCCCCCCCCCCCCAGTGTAGACCAGGCCTAAGGTGCCACAGGGACTCCTAATCCTCGAAGAAACAAACAAAGCCTCTGCTAAGAAAAGGAGCAAAGAAATTTGTTATACACTGGTGCCATCTACTGGATATTGAAGGCACTGAGCAATCCAAAATCTGAGAGCCAACAGCCAAGCAGAAAATACCTCCACCGAAACCCGAAACAGGGTCTAAAAAACGTCAGAAGTTGCTGACTCCGACAAAGAAGCTGCCGTGACGTGGACACACTCCTCCTATCCCAGGGTGACCAGCAGTGAGGGGAAGCAGTGAGATTTAATTTCAGAGATTGGTCTTTCTTTTTATGGCTCAGGCGAGGTCTACACTAAAAAGTTAGGTCGACTCAGCTACGTCACTGAGGGGTTTGAAAAATCCATATCCCTGAGCCATGTAATTAAATTGACCTGACCCCCAGTGTAGAAAGCAGTAGGTAGCTACTGCCTCTCGGGAATGTGTGTGTGTGGATTAACCCCTCCCAGCCGTGTAGTGAGTGTAATTGCTAGTTCTCTTGTTGTGGCTGCACTCTCTCTAGTGAGACCTCGAGGAACTGCATTTTGGCTTCTAAGTAATGCTACGTGGATGTTCCTCCTTGGAACACCCAAGTCAATTGAACTAAGAGAATCTCACAGAAAATGTTTAAGCGCCTGCTTTGGCTGCTTTAAACAAGTCCCTTTCAAAGCCAACATGAGAAACAGCAAAGACCAGATTCCTCAAGGTGCAGCCTGTGAGACGTAACTTTACTCCTTGGAGAATTACTTTCGTGCGGTAAGTGTGTTAGAAATACTAAAGAACTGATAACTGTTGATTATAGAGCTGGGTCATTCATGGTGAATTAATATACTGGTTGGCTGGTTAAGAATAATCCAGTGTCCTCATTTGAGACATTCTGACCGAGGTTAAACTAGATCTGAGAAGGACCCAACTTTAAAATCAGAAAGCCAGCACTCCCGGGATGCAGTAAATTAAATTCCAGCTGAATTAAATTCCAGCCCCAAACTGGCTATGTTTCTCCAATAGGCAAATCTAGTTTGTTAGATTTTCAGATGAAATCTAACTGGCACTTTGGCAAATTCACAAAATTGACCCCTCCCCCCCCCATTCACACTTACACATCTCCCTGCTACCCTGGACCAGACTCATGGCCCATCTAGGCCAGTATCCCACCTCTCCTTGCTCGGCTGTGAGTGATGATCCCTAATAATAATTCTCTGTTTCCCCTCATACCCTTTGTTTGTTCAGTCCGTAAGCTCTTCAGGGCAGGGACTGACTCTCACTGTGGCTCTGTGCAACATCTGACCCACTGAGAGCCCTGATCTCGGTCGGGGTCTGC